TGGGGGTCGCCCTGCGCACCCCGGGGTGCGCGGCGGCAGGACGCGTAGGGAGGCCGGAGCGAAAGGCAGTGGGGATAAGTTTGGAAGTGGCGAGCGCCGGGGTCGCGCTGTCCCGGGCGGAAGGCGGAGGGGGCTGCCGGCACGGGTTGGTGCCCGGCTCCCGGGCCCGGGTCTCACGCTTTCTCTCGTATCTGTGACTCTCGCTCTGGCTTTTCCTTTGGCGGGACTGCGGATTTTTCTGTTTTGCGTCCGTGGAGACCCACCGTGGGGGATATTTGAGACACTGGCCTTGTGGGCTAGTGCCAGGACGCTGAGAGTTGATCCTGCACTTGATGTCCTCGAGCCTCAGGATTCCCGGCTGGGAAATATGGGCACATCTCATGTCTCACACGGCTCCCTCTGCCTGTTTGACAGCAGGATGTGGTGGTTGGACCAGGTACTGCTAAGATCCTTTGTAGCTGAAGATTTGGGGGTGGTATAATTGAAAGACAAGGGACCGGGGAGGGGACTTGAATGCGGTGGATTCTTTACCCAACGTCACTGATCAGTTTCTGAGAAAGTGGGGGAAAGCAGATTCCCTATGGGGCATTTCTTTCCTCCCCAACTCCCCGTTAGATTGGGTCTCCTTCTCTGCTTCTCCTTTCCCGCATTTCCTCTCTTATCTGCTTCTTTCCTTTCCCTCTACCATTTTCTTTACCATAATTTCATTGTGTGGCTCACATATGCTTTCTTACCAAAAAAAAAAAAAAAAGAGTTACTACATCCTTGATGGAACCAGGAAAAAAAAAAGCCCGGAAAGTTAGAAAATCCGTATGTTCTCCCAGTGTCCCCGCCTTCAGTGTGGGTGATAGTCACATCTTCTGTTTGGGGTTTCTGTCTCCCAAGTTAAAATGAAGGCAAAATGGGTATTATGGACCTCCTTGTTTTGCATTTAGTATTTGTTGTAGAATAATGCTACAACATAGAGGTTTTTGCTTTGAGGAGATCCTGGACACAGACAGGGTGGGATGAGGGTTGGAGTTATTGTCTGAATGGCTTCAGAGACAGCAAAGAAGGTACTCCGGGCCCACAGTGTGGCTAAGATACAGCACCCAGCACCTGAGGCAGCTCTGGGAAGCTTGGAACCCTTCCTGCTACAACCCCATCCTTTCTCTCTCTCCCCCCTTGCCCTTTAGCCATGGGCTAATTCCTTTCTCTTATGGCCTCTTCCATAGCCCCTCCCTGTCTTAGTCCTGTCAAAGTCTCCTCTGTGATTGGTACCAGGTGTTAGGACTATTGACTCCCCCCCCCATCTGCCTGGCTAATGGCTCTGTTTTCAGGTTGCCTTGCTGGCTGATTCTTTAAAGTGATGGATCCCTACTGGTGATGGAACAAAATGAGCAGTAGTTGGGTGGTCAGCAACTTGGCATGGGCTGGGCTACGCACCTCAGTTTTGTGCCCTTGGGCAAGTCATTTTACCTCCCTGGACCTCAGTGTACTCAATTATGGAGTAAGGATCTGACCTAGATGACTCCAATATTGGGTGTTCTATGATTCCCATTAAATAGTCCATGAGTTCTTCTTTTTAAAAATTGGCTGGGCATGGAACAGGGTCAGTGGCTGCAAGTGTTACCCAGCCAGGGAAAGAGGAAGGACATAGCCAAGACACCACAGAAACTTTTCAAGGCAGACATGGTTTCATGTGTGAGAATTAGTTCTCTCTCAAGTACATAACACCAGTAGAGAAATGCTGATGTCAGCAAATAATGGGGTGGAATTTACTTGGTATATCAGGAATCCAGGATCAATCAAAGTGCAAAAGAAGCTCTGACTGACCTGAATTTCTTGAGAATTCCAGTTGAGTCCTGACTAATAGGGCTTAAATGAATTGACAACAACAGGATGAGTTTCCCCTGAAATGGGGAAAGTGGAGTCACACTAATAATGATTACCCAGTGCATGTGTAAGTCTTATATTTCTTCCCAACTGCCTTTGAGGGAATTAGAGCCGGCAATCTTGAGCTCATTTTACAGATGAAGAGACTGAGGTGGCTTGTTGGTGGGGTGCTCAGCTTGTGAGTGGTACTGACAGGCCTGGAAACATAGTTTCTGGCCCTGAAGCCCAGTCTTACACCTGTAACCTTCAAACAGGCTGGGAGACAAACCAAGATATGAAGAATTAGTGAAAGACCGATATTGGCTTCCTAGCACCATAAGATGGTTAGTAAGTAGCAATTCGCGGCAAGAGATTAGAAAATTAAAAATGAAAACTCAACATAGTTGTAGTTACTAGGAAATAAAAATCTGGGAGCTGATTTCCAGTTAAAGAGATGCATGAGTAAAGTTTCACTTTCTTGAAAATGGTGAAACTACCGATGATATGACACAATTTCTGATTGGAAATAATGAAGTGGAAGCAAAGAGCAAGTTCTTTGTAGCAGGTCTGAACAATTTTATGATCAATATAGAAAGTGAACACTGATGATCTAAGGCTTCCCAAATATATATATGTATATATTTAATGAAGGGGATGTGAGAAGGTCAACTTTCTGAAAAATTGTCTGAAGATTTAACTTCATTTCCTTTTGGGGGACACCGCCTAAGACTGGGCTGAACATATCTTAGGTGAATAAGTAAAGGAATAACTAGAAAGTATCCCAAGAGGCTATTTTAGCTTAGAGCAAGGAACGTCCAAATCCCTACAGATACATGTTTTACTTTCTGAAAGGCTTTTAACATTTTTACAACCATTTCTGTCCCCCAAGTAAGCCCACCCGATGCTTTTCATAAAAACATTGCATACCACTGACATTCTTTAGTTTCTTTCATCAGGACTGTTGACTTAACACTAAGAAGGGGGTGGGGAAGGAGTCCCAAACAACCGGCCCCAAGCCCTGAGAGTTTACTAATACACTTAGTTGGGTGGCAAAATGGAAGTACACTCAACTGCAGCAGAATTCAAACTACCCATGTAGAAGGAAGCCCCCCAGTTCTCCAAACAAAGAACCAGCCCAGTGGTAGCTCTGAATTTCATCCCTGAACGATTGGGTTTTTAATAAAGTTGGGGAAGGAGGGGAAACATGAATGCATGGGAGAATCTTAAGGTTTTGGCTTTAAAAGGCTAGTTTCTCAGAGTTTATCACCGGACAGAGAGAAGTATCCTCCCAGCATCCTAAGATTATAGGATTAAATTGAGAAGAACTTCAGTTCTGACTCATGACACAAGGCTTTGGGAAGAGAATGACATATATTTCCTGGGTTTCTTTGACTAGGCAAGGGCGGCATTCATTGGCCTGGAAGTCTTGCCTCTATCAATGTATTTCAGATTTCCAGGGAGAGTTAGAGGTCAGAGTGTCCTATTCAGAAGTGTTTTCAATCAAAGAGCCAACCACCCTCCTACCTGGACCCCACAGAACCTCTTTCAGAGCTTTCCCTGGGCTGGAGATACCTGGTAATCATATAGCTCCTTGCTGAAGAATGTTCTCCAGGGCATATTCATGTATTATTTCCTAAATTTCTCACATGACTCTATGGGAAAAGAGGGTGATTGTTATTAGTGCTCTGTAATAGAGGAGAAAAAGCTACTAGGTAGTATAGTAATGACACATACTAGAGTAAGTGTGCTTCAAATCTTCATCTTCTGACTCCAGTCTTGGAATTTTGTGGATAAAAGACCCACTTAAACATACTCCCACGGCCTAGGTATGTACCCTGATGTATAAAGATCAGCAGTTCATTAAACAGAGATCAAGTTTTCCCCGTGAATCTTTGCTTCACTTCCCCTCCATCTCTCCTGTTCCAGGCCTCCCCCACTACCCTAATACCTCCCACCTGCATAATGCCTGCCCCCTACTCTAATGACTCCCCCCACCTGAATGCCTCCTCTCTTTCTAATGCCTCCCCTCTTATTCTAATGCCTCCCTACCCTCAGCTTGTTTTTACAATATGAAATTAATATTTGTTTTTGCAAATGTAGAATAATATTTGTTTGTATGGATAGTGTATAAATTAAGGGCTTGAGTTCTGATGTCAAACTAACCTAATTCCAAATCGTGATTCTGCCCCATATTCACTCTATGACTTTGGGCAAATGGTTTAGTTTGTCTAAACTCCAGTTACCTCATCTATCACATGGGGCTGGGATCTAACTCACTGGGTTCTCATGAGGTTTAAATGAGGCACATAAGTTTTCTGGTATGAAGGAGGCACTCTTCCAATGTTAGAGACTTTCTGGAAGGCTTCCTGTCTTGCTGGACTGGACTGATAACCACAGATCCCCTATTGAGAGGAACACTGCCCAGACAAGTCCCCACACTCATTAACCCTTGACTGCAGGAGGGGGTGGGCTGGTCACTGCTGGAGGGAACAGGGCAAAGCTTGTGGGGGACTATTCCAAATTGGAGCCCATGCAACTGTTACTATTCCTACCCTTTCCTTTCCTTTTGCCATCTCTTTGGGTTTACTGAGCTATAGAATGATAGAGGGAGATGGAATATTGAACCTCAGAGGCCATTTGATTTGACCCCCCATCCCCACTTCACTTATTCAGTTGGGCAATGACTAGCCAGTCAGCAGGCACTGAGCCAGGTGCTGGGCCAGGCCCTGGGATAAAACGATGCTGGAGACTGGAGACTCCATTTCTGTGCTGGAGGCGATCTTAGCCACTTAGCAGGTGTAGATCGAGTCTCAGAGAGCTGGTGACTGGCCCAAATCACTGCTCTTTAGTGCCAAGGCCAATCTCAATCTCCACTTCTCCCAAACCCTCTTCCCCCATCCCGACCACAGGCCTGAGCAACATCCCCAAAATGTCCACATCTTAACTCCTTACTTTTTTTAAGGTCCTTGCTTCACCCACCTTAACCCTAAGAATCCCTGCCACCATCCCCACCATCCACTGCCAAGGATTTCAGTGAAGAAACACACCCGGTTATAGTTACCTTCCTCATTCCCATTACTTGGATCCAACTTCCAGGGGAAGTCAGTGATTATTTGCAAAATTCAAAGGTCTTCCATTCCTTGCTTTTACTTCCATTCATTGATAGATTCAATTTAATTTCAGATACCTTCCGAGTTTCAAAGAGAGACTGAGGCTGGGCTTGGTGGCCTGTAATCCCAGCACTTTGGGAGGCTGAGGCTATTAGATTACCTGAGCCCGCGGGTTCAAGACCAGCCTGGGCAACTTGGCGAGTCCTCGTCTCTACAATAAAAAGTAAAAAATAGCTGGGCATCTGTAGTTCCAGCTACTCGGAAGGCTGAGGTGGAAGGATCGCTGGAGCCCGGAAGTTCGATGCTGGGGTTGCTGTGAGCGTGTGTGTCACTGCACCATAGCCTGGGCGAAGGAGACTTCAACTCAAAAAAAAAAAAAAGAAAGAAAAAGAGACTGAAAGTGAGGCTACAGAATAATCTTGTTGACTTTTAAAAAAATGTTCTTCCTCTTTCAGACTGAGGTAGCATTTGCCCATATGCACATTAGCCAAAATGAATAGCTCTTGTGAATTCAGAATAGCCTGAAACATCAGCCCTTATCAACTTTAATTAGTCATTGTGTCCACATCGCTGAGCTGTGTTTTGTTGTTGTTGTTGTTTTTTGAGTTGGAGTTTCACTCTGTCGCCTAGGCTGGAGTCCAGTGGCACGCTCATAGCCACCGCAGCCTCGTCCTGCTGGGTTAAGATGAGCCTTTCAAGTAGGTGGAGCAATAAGCGCACGGCACCATGCCTGGCTAATTTTTTTTATTTATTGTGGAGACAAGGTCTCGCCAAGTTGCCCAGGATGGTCTCAAACCCCTGGGCTCAGGCAAGTCCTCTCGCCTTGGCCTCCCAAAGTGCTGGGGTTACAGGCATGAGCCACTGTGCCCGGCCAAACTATGCTTTTCAATAACCTGTTTTGTTTTTCTGCTTTTGAGTTAGGGTCACCCAGGCTGGAGGGCAGTGGCACGATCACAGCTCACCACAGGCTCGACCTCCTGGGCTCAGGCAATCCTTCCCCCTCAGCCTCCCGAGCAGTTGGGACTATAGGCACTTATAGAGACAAAGTTTGGCTATGTTGCTCAGGCTGATCTTGAACTCCTGGTCTCAAGTAATCCTCTGGCCCTGGCCTCCCAAAGTGGTAGGATTGCAGGTGTGAGCCATCGGCACCCAACAGGAACATATTTTACTCAAGAAGAATATGGCATGAAATGAAAACAAAACAGAAGCCCCAGGGCTCATGGGACTTTTCTCTGAGGGTGGGGGTCTGGTGTTGGAGGTCATGGTGGGGGTGTGAGGTCCTTGGCCCCATGTCCCAGATCCCCTGAAGCAGTTTGGGTTTCAATGTGTCTTTCAGCAAAATGATGCTTCAACACCCAGGCCAGGTCTCTGCCTCGGAAGTCAGTGCTTCTGCCATCGTCCCCTGCCTGTCCCCTCCTGGGTCACTGGTGTTTGAGGATTTTGCTAACCTGACACCCTTTGTCAAGGAAGAGCTGAGGTTTGCCATCCAGAACAAGCACCTCTGCCACCGGATGTCCTCTGCGCTGGAGTCAGTCACTGTCAGCGACAGACCCCTTGGGATGTCCGTCATGAAAGCCGAGGTGGGTTCTGCCTCAGGTGTTCATTCTTTCAGCACATATTTATCACACAGCCACTGCATGTTAGGGAGGAGACAGACAATACATGGCATAAGTAAATATGTAATATGAGAGATAGGTGCAAAGGAGGACAGGCAGCATGGGGAGGGGTGGGGGGGCTGTTTTAAATTAGGAAGTCAGGGAAGTCCTCACTGATAGTGGCTTTTGAGCAGAGACTTGAAGGAGGAGATGGAGGGAGCTATGTGGGTATCTGGCCTCAGAGATGAAGGGCAGGGCGGACTATGTGGCAGCAGCAAAATAGGAGCAGGTTGTGTTTGATCTCAGACTATTATATAGATATGGCCCTGTGCTCAGAGTGGAATGGGGAGTCACAGGAAGGTTCTTAAGCAGAGGAGCAACATGGTCCAACTTATACCAGAGTGCCAAAAAAAGTATACTCATTTTAAGAGATATTATCCATACTTTTAGTTTGCCATAATCAGAAGTGTGTAGATGCTGATGGGAAGCACTCTGAACACCTCTTGTAATTGCCGAAGTCAAACATGACTTGTATTCATCTTTTGTTATTGGTATATATTGAATATTGCCATTCTAATACGGCTTGTTCCTTTCTTAAAATGTGTGTACATTTTTTGGCACCCTCTGTACTTTTAAATGATCGCCCTGGCTGTTATGTTGCGAATGGGTCGTAGGGCCTAGACAGAAGCAAAGTGTGCAGAAATGAGACGATGGCAGTGATCCACATGGAGTGAAGGAGAGTTTGTGTCAGAAGGGGACCACTGCAGGTGCTGAGAAGTGGTTGGCTTCTGGATCTGACCTCCATGGTAAAGATGAGTTACTGACAGATCGGATGTGTGAGGTGTGAGAGAAAGAAAGGGGGACACTGAGTTTTCTGGCCTGCATAGCTGTAAAAATGGAGTGTCTCTTTGCTGCCGATATTGGGACTGTAGAGGGTTGGGTAGGAGCAAGAATAGGCAATCCGCCCTATTATAGATTCCTATGGAGATGTCAAGCAGGCAGTTGAATATGTGGGTCTGGAGTCCAGAGGAAAGTTCAGGCTAATAATACAGAGTTGGAAGTCATCAGCATAAAGATAGCACTTAAAGTCATGAGTTGAGATGATGTGACCATCTGTGTCTTCAGAATTCTGAAGATGCATGAAGTGTGGTGGTCATTTTCGTCTCTACCAAGACACAGGCGCCCAGATGGTGGAGGAAAAATCAGGCAGCCAGCCACATCTTTCCCTGTAGCAGTGCTCACAGCCTTGGGACCAGGTGTTGCTCCAAGTTCACATCTGTCTTGGACACTTGTACTGTTCCACACTTAGTATTAGACTACTGGAATAGCAAACATGCTGAAAAGTCTGGGAGGTGGCTGCTGGTGGTGCTGTGGTGGCTTAAGAATGTCAAAGCTGATGTTCCACCGTTTTGTTAGCCTTTCCCTTCTGGTTGCAGGTGGAAGTGTTTCAAGGCATGATTGCAGTCTTTGGGCAAGGAATAGTGAAACTGGCCCAAAAGAGTTTAAAAGAGGTTGGCTAAGCATCTTTATGATTTCATAATGGCTCCTGCCTAGGATTGATCTGAGGGTTAAATGAGATGACATTTGTCAAGGGTCTAGCAGAGGACCTGGCTCATAGTTAGTTAGCATTCAGTGAACAGTAGCTGAATGAGTTAACCTTAGAGGAGGGAGGCAGCATTCCCCACAAAATGTTGGCTGGTTCCCAGTCCAATACTGGACAGTGCAGCCTGGATGATGAGACATTCAAGGCGCTTTTTTCTTCCTAATTAAATATTGGGATAACAGGATGCAATGGAAGTAGTAGCATTCCCACAGAAAGAAGGAAAGCATTTTGGAAAGGTATGTGGAAGGTTCTCCAGAGGAAGAAGCTGGTGGTCCGCTTCATGGAAATGCTCCTAAAAGCTACCCAACTCATCTGCTCTGATTCTGTGTTCCCCAAGTGACCTTCTGATCTTAGGTCAGTTTAGCAGGCAGATTTACTTCCTGGGAAGAGAATGCATAAGCATTTCATTACTGAATATGCTGATTCCTTTGGTTGGCATAATTCTCTTAAGATAAGACACTGAGCCCATGAAAGCCATTAGCATCCTGTCTGGACAGCATGGGAGCCTGTTTCCCAAATTCCAGTCATCTCCATCAAGGTGACTTGGTAGAACGAGGCAGGAAAAGGACCAGGAGACAACACAGGAAGAGGAGCAAAAGGCTTGTATTTATATCCAGGCTTTGTAGCCTTCTGGTCTGGTAACCATGAGCTGGTGGTTCCTGGGCCCTCCTTGGGCACATTACCACTGGCTTCTCTTTGCCTCCAATTTCCTCATCAGTGAAGTGAGGGAACTGAAGTAAATGCTCTGTAATACGCCTTTTCTATCTTGGATAGTCTGTGACTCTTGAGATTTACCCTACTTTCAAGTACTTCCTCATATAAGCAAACCCTGAATCCTCTCCTACTGCTCCAGAATATCTACAGGGTTGTAAAGGAGATGCTAAAGTTGCTGAGTTCTTGAGGAAGATATTGATGGTGAGGTTCATAATAACCAAAACTGTGTAGCACTTATCATAAGCTAAACACTGTGTAAAGCAAAGCATTTTACATGTTGACTCATTTGAGGCTTAGAAGAGTATGGTAATTTGCCCAAGGTCTCATAACTCTTAAGTGGTGATTTGGAAATGCAAATCCAATTTAGTATAAAGCCTATATGTATGCCTGTATGACTCTGAAATCCAAGATGTGAAAGGTGGAAAATCCTTTTATCATATTTCCCCTTGGTCTTTAATTCTCTAAATTGCAAGACCTTCCTTCTCAGTCTAAGTGAGGTCAGTGCCATCTATCTAATTCAAAAGAATAGTAAAAAGTCAGACATGAAGTGACCATGGCATTCCAGGAGCTCTTTGGTTTGAGGTGTGGCTCCTGCATTCTTCCCTCTGTCCAGAGCAGTGATGGGGACATGACAGGGTCTGACACTGACAGCTTAAACTATCACCCACTTGGTCCACTGTGAGTTTCATCCCAGCTGGACTTTGACTCTGAGCCAAATCCAGTGGCTGGATGTTGCTGTCTCCCCATCAGTCTATAGTCAAAGTCAGGATCTGAGTGAACATTCAGGGAGGACCAGATCTTAAGTGGGACAGGGTTTTGTTCTCTGAGGATCCCCAGGGCTAACTCAGGGTGAGGCATAGGCAAGATCAATATGTGTTGGCTCAATCAGTGATCGTTCTAGTTCACCACCTGCAGGTGGCATCCTAGCCATGAGCTGATTAATGCCACTTTGCCCAGGAATGGACTCAGGGGCCTCTTCTCCAGGTGTCCAAGGGCTTCTCCCAAATTCAAGAGGTAGTGGTATGATGCTCCAGGTGAAGATAGAGATGGATGGGTTGCCCTTGGGTCTTGAACTGGAAAAGAGGCAGGAGAAAGGGTGACTAGGTGAAAATCCTGAGGTCATTTCTGATTTCAGGAAAAGGACATATTTAACAGAATCTGTTTCCAGCTCTAAATGATTACAGTTAGTATCAGTAGTTACTAGTTTAAATATCATATTCATTTCAAGATCCAAATGCATTTTTTTTTTTGAGTTGGAGTCTCACTCTGTCATCCAGACTGGAGTACAGTGGCACGTTCCCGGCCACCGCAGCTTCAACCTACTAGGCTCCAACAGTCCTTCCACCTCAGCCTTCCAAGTAGCCAGAAATACAGGCACACACTACCACACCCGGCTAATTTTTGATTTATTGTAGAGACGAGGTCTCGCCAAGTTGCTCGGGTGGGTCTCAAACCCGCAGGCTCAGGCAATTCACTTGTCTCGGCCTCCCAAAGTGCTGGGATTACAGGCTGAGCCACCAAGCCCAGCCCCAAATGCATTTTAAGTGAGCTAAATTTCAATGTACTAATATTGCCAATATAATTTTAACAGTTCATTGACTTTCATTGTTCATTTGCAAGCTTATGTGGGCATGTAGGACTTTCATGCAAAAGTCTAGGACTTTAGTTTTTTTCAGACTCTTTAGCTTTAGGACTACCCTGGCTTGCTGATTTTTCGCGGGCAGTGTTTGAGGTGGATGACATTTCTGGCCTTCCATTAACTGTGTGCTTTTTGGATTTTATAGGTAGCCCCAGAAGAAGATGAAAGGAAAAAGAGGCGACGGGAAAGAAATAAGATTGCAGCTGCCAAGTGTCGAAACAAGAAGAAGGAAAAGACTGAGTGCTTGCAGAAAGTGAGTGCCTTCCAGCCTTCCCCTTCCTCTTGCTCGTGCCTGTCCCACACCAACCTTATATCGCCACTGGAAGTGGTGATAAAGAGCCCCTACCTAGTTGTGTCTTCCCAAGAAGGGCCTTGTATCTGAGAGCAGAAATGCCAGTTGCAGAATCAGGTAGTGGCAAAGCTGTCAGCATGATGCATGTGACTCTGGGTGTATAAAAAACAGGTGTGTGAATTCATCTGATGCCCAACTCCCAGCAGCCTCGGCTGGTCCATACATGTCCACTAGCTTCCAGGCTGTGGAACGTGCCAGCCCAGTTAAAGAGGCCTCACTCACCAGTTTTTCCAAGAAAATAAAACTGCCAGCTCTCATTTGGCTCACTGTGAAAAGCCTTTGATTAATCTCTTCAAACAAGTTATTTCCTTAATCCTCAAGCAGTGGTAATACTTTCTTTGCATTCCTGTTTGGTTCCTAGCTCTGCAGCCCTTTTCTCTGGCTCATCCAGCAATCTGGGCTCCTGGCTGTGTTCAGACAGCCCCCCTTGAGAAACACCAGGAGGAACAGGGTTTCTGAGCCAGCAGGATGGGCCTTGGTGCCCAGAATGGGCCTTGGTGCCCAGAAACCTGTCCAATGGCTGTGTCCCTCCCCCAAGTGTGGACAGGCCAGGGCAGAGTCTTAATCCAGGTTTCACAGGTCTCCAAGTGTTCTGTTGATTGCATCAGGGGATCAGTGAAAAGTGGAAAATATTGAGTGTTGCCATGTATACTTTTCCTGAGGAGATGAGCTTCCCAGTGAGATCAATGACTCACAAATGACTGAGCATGATAAGTCTGGCTATCGCCTCTGTCACCAAGGCCCTTTTTGGTCCAGAAGACCTGTATCCAGCCTGGGCAACTTAGCAAGTCCCCATCTCTACAATAAATCAAAAAATTAGCTGGATGTGGTGGTGCATGCCTATAATTCCAGCTACTTGGAAGGCTGAGGCAGAAGGATCACCTGAGCCCAGTAGTTTGAACCTCGCTAGCCATGTACTGCACTCCAGCCTAGGTGACAGAGTGAGACTCCTACTCAAAGAAGAAGAAGAAGAAGAAGAAGAAGAAGAAGAACTACTACACGTAGGCTTTTGGACTCACACAAAGGAGGTCTCGAAACTATCAGTTTCTCTCCAGCTTCAGTACTAGTAGAGACACAGCCTACTTCTGTGGCAACTTTAGGGCCTCTCTAAAGAAGCCTCTGGTAGGGCACAGTAGCTCACACCCCTGTAATTCCAGCACTCTGGGAGGCTGAGGCGGGAGAATTGCTTGAGCCCAGGAGTTCAAGACCGTCCTGGGCAACATAGCAAGACCTCATCTCATAAAATTAAAAAAAAAAAAATTAGCCAGGTATGGTAGTGCCTGCCTATAGTTCCAGATACTTGGGAGGCTGAGGTGGAAGGGTTGCTTGAGCCCAGGAGATTGAGGATGCAGTGAGCTGGGATCATGCCACTGCTCTCCAGTTTGGGTGACAGAGTGGGACCCTGACTCAAAAACAAAACAAAAAACAGAAAAGCCCCCACATTCAAAAGCTTCCCCAGGGTCTGCAGTCTCCCAAACCTACTGCTGCTCTCCCATGTCCCTCAGTAGGGCTCTTCCAGCTTGGTGAACCCCGAGGTGACCCAAGTGCCCCCCTTCCATGCAGGCAGCAACCCAGGCCACCCTCTCTTCACGGGTCCTTGACTCTGTCCCTAATGCCTCGTTTACCCCCCAGGAGTCAGAGAAGCTGGAGAGTGTGAATGCTGAGCTGAAGGCCCAAATCGAGGAGCTTAAGAACGAGAAGCAGCATTTGATATACATGCTCAACCTTCATCGGCCCACGTGTATTGTCCGGGCTCAGAACGGGCGGACTCCAGAAGATGAGAGAAACCTGTTTATCCAACAGATAAAAGAAGGAACATTGCAGAGCTAAGCAGCCGGCGGCATGGGGGCAACTGGGGAATCCTCATTGAATCCTCCTTTTACACCCCAAACCCTGAAGCCATTGGAGAGCTGACTCCCTGTGCAACCTCTAGAATCCCAGCAGCAGAGCACCACCGAGGCAGGAGGCCCCACGGTGACTCAGCTGGGCCTTCCCATTCTGCCCAGAGTGGATCTTGAACCAGGGGAAGTGCATCCTTTGCCTCAACTCCAGGATTTAGGCCTTAACACACTGGCCGTTCTTATGTGCCAGATGGACCCAGACTGGGATCCTGCCCGCCTTTTGTCTGGATTCTACAAAAACCAGGGTGCCCACCATCAGGATCCATGCAGAAGCGTCTGTACCTTGGGTGGGTAGGGTGGAGCTGTCTCCTCCGCCATGGCTGCCATTGTCACTTGTCGAGGACATGGAGTGAGAACGGCATTTGGTGAAGTTGTGCAATGGCCAGGGTTGTGCTTCCTAGAAAAATATGCTGTTATGTCCAGAAATTACTGTGTGCAAGGCATTCGTTTCAAAACTAGGCATTGTGCTCTTTTGATATTTGTTTTGCACACCACTGGTGTGACTTTTATGTGATTTTCCTCAGGTCTGGTTTCTGAGAGTTTGGGGAGGTTGTCACCACATGCAGTGTCTCACAAAATGTTCAGGTGGCCAGAACTTGTCAGCCTCCGGAGAACAGAGTTCTCCTGGCGTTAACACAAAACCTATGGGTATGATGGCAGGTCCTCTGTTGCAGACTCCGTTCCAACATCACAAGAAGAAAGCAGAAAGAAAGCCCAGCTTCCAAAGGGTTAAGACTCTCCACTCAGTGACTTAGGTCAGGAGTTATTTCTAGGTTGGAAGAGCCAAAGAATATTTCATTTTCCTTTCCTTGTGGTTGGAAATCACAGTCAGTGGAGACATGTTTGAAGCCAGGTATTGCCTAAGCTTTAGCATTATTGGATGTCAATGGCATTGTTTTTGTCATGTAGCTGTTTTAAGAAATCTGGCCCAGGGCGTTTGCAGCTGTGAGAAGTCACTCACACTGGCCACAAGGACTCTGGCTACTGTCTGTTAAAATTCTGATGTTTCTGTGAAATCCTCAGAGTGTTTAATCCTACTCAATAGTATCATTACAATTTTCTGTAAGAGAAAATATGACTTATTTATCCTAGTATTCTTAACCTGTCAACATAATAAATATTGGAACCAAGACATGGTAAACATGTGTTGTGCTGGTTTCTATTTTTTTAAGTCTGTGGGTTGGTAAGATCTAGTCATTCCCCGACCCTCTCCATTATGGGAGCCTTAAATATTCCCCAGGTGTCATCCTTTGTTCTTTGGGGCACCGCTAAGTGGGATAGTTGACTTTCAATCTTATTCCTCAGTCTATGACACAGTGCTCAATTTCTCATTGATGGACCCTGAAAACAGCACCAAATATACCCTTTAGATCAACAGTTTGATGTTAAGAGACAGTTCTGATATCAAAATTGAATTGTTAAATACCTTAACTATCATTTTCTCTGAATAGACCCGTTGTTCAACTTGAGCCTTTGACACCTAATGTTCTGCCATGGATTGCCTCTTAAAACTTATTCACATGTAATTACATCTGTTATAATGTCCCCAAGTGTGTGTCTCAATTATTGCAAATATATATCAGAAAAGAATGGGAAGAGGGACAGGAAGGAAGAAAATGAGTAACTTTAGATTGGATGGATGTGATAATTGAAGGAAAGGTATCCCACCTCATTTCCTGGAATTTCCAGGGTATATGATTCCTTAGGTCTGTAATAGAACTAGGCTCCCCTGCTCTTTGGGCATATATATACAGACTAGAAAGAAAAGCTAGCTATTCTGCTACCAGTGCCATGGCTTCCTTAAATGTTAGATTCAACACTCAAATGGTGTGTCTGCATCTTTGAACTCATATATGGTCTCTTTAAACTATACTTGTGACACAGGTGTCCTCATTTTGCTGCTTTAATTGCACATCAGGGCTCTTATCTGTAAAGAACCATCTGGTGTTAGTACCAGTTACCACTTCTTTCAGGAGATAATCTATGTTCCTTATCTTGTTGGAGGGGGAAAAAATCCCTTGCATGTACTGTCTAGTTATGGGGAGAGGCACCACCCACTAGCCATTATGAAACTCAAGACAATTAGTAAACTGCCATGGACAATAATGGATTAGGGAGGAAGGAAGGAGGGGTGGCTACAACAAGAAAATTGATCTGAGAAATGCACTGTGTATGGTTAGTGTAACTGTAAGTTCCTTTAACGAATGCATTAAAAATGGCTTTATTTTCTGTAGCCAAGTTTGTTTTATACTTTAATAAAGAAAAGAATGAATATGTATTTACTATCAAGTCATTTAGCTCATCTTGTTTCACATTCGAAGGAGAGAGAAGGCTGAGGGGTCTGAGAGAATGAACTTAGATGAGGCTGCCACCAGAAGCAAACACCTGGTTTTACAATGTCTTTGCACTGAGCTGTCTCCTGCTGGGGGTGGTGATGTCACACTGGCAGGGCATGGAAAGCCACCCTCCCTCCCTTCTCTTGCCTTCCTGCCCCCTTACCTTTCCCTGAAACCTGGCCTGACGTCTGTTTCAGGGTTCTGGCCTAGGAGAGGGGTTCTGGAATTGAATCCTTTCACTTTCTGATAAGACCTAAAATCCTGAGTGTTTTCCACCTTTATCCTAATTTCTCCTCATGGGCTTTGAATAAACCCTTGACACTCAAATCCCTACCAAGCTTTCTCCTCTCTTCCCTGTCCCATGCCCTCTGGCAGGGTTCAAGTACCATTTCTCTGTGAATAGTATCTTCAGTCGAAATCAGCCTGGAAGGTCAAGTTCACCCACTGATCTTTTATGATGGCTCCAACTCCAGAAACTTTTCTAGGTCTTCCCAAAAACTGCCCTGAAGAAGTAATTTACAATGAGCTTAAAAGAAGCAGTCAGGACAAATGCTTGTAGTGAGTAGGACAATATGCTAAGCACTTCACATTAGCCCATTTAATCCTCACAACTGCTATCCCCATTGTATAGATGAGGAAGTGGAGAACTCAGGTCTCACAGTTGATCTTTCTAAAGCTGAAGTCTATGTTTGTTTTTTTTAACCACAGTGGTTTCAAACAAGAGCATATATTTGTGTTGTGTGTATACACGTATGTGTGGAAAAATATACATAACACAAACTTTACCATTGTAATCATTTTAAAGTGTACAATTCAGTGACATATATGTATATGTACAATGCTGTGTTACCATCACCATCTAGTTTCAGAACTTTTTCGTTACTCCTGAAGGAACCCTGTACCCATTAAGCAGTCCCTCTCAATTTCCCCCTCCTTCAAGCCCCTGGCAAGCACTAACCTGCTTTCTGTCTCTGAGGATTTGTCGCTTCTGGATCTCTCAGATAAATGGAATCATACAACATGTGGCCTTTTGTGATGACTTCTGTCACTTAGCAACCTGCTCTCAAGCATCAGCATGTGGCAGTATTTAATAGTACTTGATTCCTCTCTATGGCTGTATAATATTCCACTGTACAGATACTCTATATTTTGTTTATCCAGCCATCTGTTGATGGACAGATGCATTTACTTTAAGAAAATGATACACTTTATCCTCAAGGAATGAATCTTTAAGATACGATTTCAGGCATAACAACAAACTGGGAGAAGAGAAAGTTAGGAGCAGGGGATCCTTCTCAGAAGTTTCAACAGTGTGGAGACCACTGATTCCGTGGTTAGCTCTGTGAGAATGACAAAACTGCAGGGGGCACAATGGCATGTGGTAGGTGTGAATGGTGGCCAAACCATTTCTGCACCCTAGAAGGTTAGTACGGGAGGGCCTTTGATTGGCTTCTGGAATGCGCACCCAGCCTTCTTACCCAGCATTTCACTGGGCAGGGAGTGGAGGGAGTGAAAACTGGAGACTTTAAGAGAGTAGCTGGGGTCCCCCACACAGGGTGGCTCCCTGGGTAATTCAATCCCCAACTTAGTCCAGCCTCTGTCTGAAGCGGCTGTCCTGGGTTTTTTCCAGAACATGCATACATAAATACACACACACTCATATGTGTGTGCGTACACACAGAATTAATTATACGGCTCCCATGATGCACCAAATTGATATTCTTTTTTTTTTTTTTTTTTTTGAGTTGGAGTCTCACTCTGTCACCCAGACTGGAGTGCAGTGGCACGCTCCTGGCCACTGTAGCCTCGACCTGCTGGGCTCCAGCGATCCTTCCGCCTCTGCCTTCCAAGTAGCTGGAACTACAGGTGCGCGCTATCACGCCCGTCTAATTTTTTGATTTATTGTAGAGATGAGGTCTCACCAAGTTGCCTGGGCGGGCCTCGAACCCGCGGGCTCAGGCAATCCACTCATCTCGGCCTCCCAAAGTTCTGGGGTTACGGGCTGAGTCACCGAGCCCGGCTTGATATTCTTTTAAAAAATTTTTTAATTTAATTTTTTTTTCAAATTGGTCTTCTTAAAGGCAGTTAAATCAGTTCAGCTTGGAAACATTTGGCTGCCCCAAGCTTCCTTCGTGAGGCAAAATATTGTAGTGGTTTAGACAAAGACTTTAAAATCAGATAGACCAGGATTCAAATAATGCCTCTACTACCTATTAGGCCTGTGAATATAGGTAAGTGACACAATCTCAATTTCTTTACCTGTAAATTGGGTGCAGTGGCAATAGTACCAAACTCAATGAATTCTCGCAATAATGTGAACCTAGTACGGCACCTAGAAAGAAGCAATCTTTAATGTTATTATTAAAAGTTAAGGTTATAGCCGGGCTCAGTGGCTCAGCCTGTAATCCCGCGCCTTTGGGAGGCTGAGGTGAGTGGATTGCCTGAACCTGAGGGTTCGAGACCCGCCCGGGCAGCAAGACCTCATCGCTACAATAAATCAAAAAATCACCCGGGCGTGGTAGTGCATGCCTGTAATTCCGGCTACTTGGAAGGCTGAGGCGGAAGGATCGCCGGAGCCCAGCAGGTCGAGGCCGTGGTGGCTGGGAGCGGCCACTGCACTACAGTCTGGGCGACAGAGTGAGATTCCAACTCAAAAAAAAAAAAGTGAAGGTTATTATTCAAGATCATCATCATCAACATTTACTGAGTTTTTATGGAAGAGCAGACTGAGAATCAAGACTATGAATTCTAGGTTTTCCAATAAAATTAAACCATGTCCTCAGATGGTTCAAATGTGCCCTTGCCTTCCTATAGGCCTTACAGCCTATATGCCTATAGACCTTGTCTAGTTACTGAATCTTTTGAATTAGGGAGGGGAAGAGTAGCCACACAAAATTTTCTCATTTGAAAAAAATGTTTATTTGGGTACCCATCTGAGTTCCTGGCAGGGTGGGACTGTCCTCTGTGGGGGCCATGGGGTGTTAGGAGGAGGAGGATGGCCCTTCCCTGAGAGGACAGCAGTGGGGAGGGATGAGAACAAAGGGGTGTGTGATGGTGACAGGTCACAAAGGGGCAGCAGAGGATAAATATGGCGGCGCAGGGGGTTCCAGCAGAGAGGGTGATCACTTCTCTCACTAAGGCTGCAGGGTAGAGACTCTCAGGGAGATAAAAAATCAAAAGTGGAGGTAAGGGGGTGAGATCCAGAGAAAAACCCATTCTGGAACCCATCCTGTACCTCTACATCTTTGAAGAGTCTGGGGTCCAGGCACAACCCTCAGCTGTACTCCCACCCCCACTCCGGCCTCTGGGAAGCTCTCAGGCAAGAAGGGAGCCTGTGGGGTGGGGTGGGGTTGAGCCTGTTGTAAAGCCACCTTTGGGACCCAGGAGCACCACTGCTCCCTCATCTGCCGGCAAGGCCAAGGAAGACCCGGGGACCCACCTCTCCCACGTTGCTGTCCTGCTGAACGAGGGCCATGAGCTGTGAATCTCTGTTGCCATATTACACGGCTCAGAGTGGCTCTGGAGTAGGCATGTTCCACACTACCATGGGAAAACTGCAGCGGCAACTGCACAAGGGAGAGTATGACATATTCAAGTATGCACCGATATTTGAGAGCGACTTTATTCAGATCACCAAAAGGGGAGAAGTGATTGATGTGCACAACCGCGTCCGCATGGTGACCGTAGGCATCGCGTGCACCAGCCCCATCCTCCCACTCCCTGACGTCATGCTGCTGGCCCGCCCAGCCACAGGCTGTGAAGAGCATGCCGGACGTGGCCAGGCCCGCAAGAAAAGAAGCCGCAAGACTGCAAAGGCCTTAGAGCTCACCAGGCTCCTTCCCTTGAAGTTTGTCAGGATCTCGGTTCACGACCGAAAGAAACAACAGCTGCGTCTGAAATTTGCCACTGGCCGGTCTTGCTACCTGCTGCTGTGTCCCCCTCTCGACGCCCGTGAAGACCTCTTCTCCTACTGGGAGAAACTAATTTACCTTCTGCGGCCACCCATGGAGAGTAACAGCAGCACCTATGCCACTCCAGTTGAGGACATGGTGTGCATGCCCGTGTTTGATGAGGACAGGGCGAGCCTAGGAGCTGCAGATTTCCAAGGAAAAAGGGATCAGGACCAAGTCAGCATCAGGAGCCTCCACATGGTCTCTGAGGTGCGTGGGGCCACCTCTGCTGCCTATGCTGGAGGGGAGGGAATCCAACACGACTCCCACAAGCCCACTAACACGCCCGATGTGTCCACCCCAAATCCCAAATCTACAGAGCTTGCCAAAGAGTCAGCAACAGGCGCTGTAGCAGACACGTCGAGTACAGTAGCAACCAAGCCTGCCCCTGGCCAGGCATGCGCAGCCACAGAAGGGGAGGCCACCACAGGTGCAAGAGGAAGCCAAAGCCACTTGACCGTTGCAGACACTGCCAACATGTCTCCCAAGAGCACTAAGGTGTTTGCGGAGGCAAGCAAGGCCTCAGAGCGTATTTCCAACACATCCACGAGCCTCTCCCCAGAGGCCAACATGACTGTGGTGATCGCAGAAACTATTAGCAAGGCTGTGGAAGAAATAGGTGATGATGTTGATGCACTCACGGGACCTCCTCTCTCCACTGCACCCAGCAAAAGCAGCATGAGCCGGCGGAGTGGGAGGCAGCGACCTCAGGCCAATGCTGAAGCCCACAAGGAAAGGAGGGAGAGAAGAGAAAAAGACAGGGCCCTGGGTAGGAGTTCCCACCACCGCAGGAAGGGGGAGAGTCGCCACAGGACAAGGAAAGACAAGGCAGCCCGAAAACTCTCCAACCGGTCCCTATCGGGCCACAGAGCTGGCAGAGATGATATAAAGGAAAAAGGCCGAGGCAGCCCTGGGGGCAGCAGGCACAAAGGTGTCAGCCACACCCTCATCACTAAGGAGTCCAGGACCTCTCACAAGTCAGGAAGAAGCTTATCTGTGACTAGTTCGGGTTCCAGCAAGAGACTCAGCAGGATCAGCTCTTTCTTGAGGAACGTCAGAGCCAACTTTACTACAAAAGCAGCGGGCTCAACACGCGACCCAAATGTGGAAATCACGACCAAGGTGGTGGAGCGGAGCACCATGGAGGCCATCACCGAGACAGCAGAGAATGCCCAGGGGATGGAGATGGTTGGTTCTGTGACATCGGAGATCAAGGAGACAATGACTTTTGAAGCCCATTAGGAGACCCAGAGCTGGAAGCTGCAAAGCAGCTCAGGGCTCAGGGGGAACATCCCTGGCCTTTTTTTACAATGGGCTATTCCAGCTTTCTTGGCTGCAGTTTTGAATAAAGAACCACACATCTGAGAATGGCTTGCAGTGTTCTGTCTGAATGTTCGTTTCCCACAGCCCGGTAGTGACGTCACAGTGGATTCTGCGATGTCGTTTGTGCTGTAGCCTGAGATCCCAAGATGCAGTCAAGGGAAACCCCACCTTGCCCCAAGCTCAGCAGTTAATGTTCCACTGTGCCTCCACTCCTTCCAGGCTTGGGTTCTCCAGGACTAGGCTGCAAGTCACAGGTTGTGGGGGGGTCGTCACCTCCACCACCTTGCTATCCTGTTTATAACCGTATCTTCCCCCAAAGGCCCATAGACAAGGCAAGAACAAGACTCTCATCCCCTTGGACTACTCAGGGGAGTGGGAAAGGGAACAGCAGCATGTGTTGGCAATCAGACCAAGGAGACTGTCTAGACTAGCAATTCCATTCCTAGGCATATGCCCGGGAGAAACACACACATGTTCCAGGAGACAGTTATGAGAATGTTTACAGCAAAATTAACAGCACAATACTGGAAATGGTCCAAATTTCCATCAACAGAAGGATAGATAATATAATGGGGTATACATAGAGGGAATATTCAAGAGTGAAAAGTGGCAGCCACACATATTAGCACAGATAAATTTTGCTCACCCTTTTTTCAAAAGCAAATCATGAAATAAGATAATTCCACTTATAGAACAGTTCAAAGATCAAATAAAAATATTGCATGTTTGATGTACATTTGATAAAACAGCCCAAAACAAGGAAACAGTAAATAATTCAGGACAGTGGTTTTCTCTGGGGTGGAAAGGAGATGGGATGAAGAAAGTGGGCACAGGTTTGTGCTGGAAATTGTTTTGGTTCTTAAGTAGGTGGGTACAAGGGTGTTTATTTTGTTTTTTTACATTTCTTCACCTTTGAAATCAGAATGCTCCTACAATCGCTATGGCAGATGTGACATTACTGCCCTGACTTGCCTTAACCAAGTTCTTCCTCTTAATGCTTTCACTTTTGTGTGTAAATCTGAAAGACCTCTTGTTAAGATTCAAATCTTAATTATTACAAAAAGCCTTGGTTGGCTATTATGAAAAGAAGAAATGATATCCCTATTTTACAGATGAGGACACTGAGGCTCAAGAAATAAATGGCTCCAGTTGCACACAGGACCTTTGCAGAAACCCCTGTCTGAAGCCTAGGGAGAAGGCAAAGTCAACAAGTCCAAGGAGACCTGGGCACCGCAAGAACCTGGGACTCACCAGGTTCTTACCACCATGTTCCAAAACTCTATGCAGATGAGCACCAAATGTACTGGATTGAGGGGAGGGAGAGGTGAGGGCTGGGGACTAGTAGTGAGCCACTGTGAGTTGGTTTTTGTTGTTCAATGTGCGCACAGTCCTTAGTTGACCTCATCTTGAGTGTCCAGACCACTTTAAGCCATCCATGTCTGCCTCGCAGGCTCCTAGCCCCAGCCCCTGCTGTGGCACAGACAGCTATAAACAGAGCTCCCTCCTGGAATTCCAGGCTTTGCTCCCCACCAGGAACACTCCTGACTGGGGCTGCATCTCTCTCAGCCCAGTCCTCCTCCTGACCACCTTTCGCCACTAATTAAGCTCTTAAAAGCCAGGTTTAGAATGATTTCTCCAAACCACATCTTCAGGACGTTTCTTCTCCTGGGATCCCAAAAACAAATCCTTAAGTCTCACATGAAGGAGGTTTTGAGTTAGGTCACAGCATCTTTGATGCTTGGATCTCTACAATAAGTTCCTAAAGCTACTTTGGAGGAATGTCACAGACTTTATCATGTGGGTTGGGAGACATCTATTGGTAGAGGAGATTGTGGGGATGGGTGGGGGCACTGCTGAGAAAGAAAGAGGGCTCAAACTCTACACACACTCACCTTTTCCTTCTGCAAAACAAGGCTCCTTCCTGACCCCAGGACAATGAATTACCAGAGCAAGTCAAGTTATTGTTAAGGAGAGAGAACATGCCAAAGATTAGATACAAATTGGACCTGTGAGGAAAACAAACTTGGAATCATTAACCCAGAGCTCCAGAGAAGACTGGGAAGCCTGCAGGGAGATGAATTAATGGTTTACGCTTGACCAGCTTTTCCGTTGACCCGAGGTAGGGAAAAGACAGAAAGATCACATCGCATTCCTTTCATCTTCGGATTTCCACACAGGCGAGTGTAGGTAAACACTAGTCTGGAAGATGAAAATGCAATGAAAGCATTTGTCTAGCACTTAGCCGTTTATCAAGTTCTTTAATGTATGTCTCTTCATTTTGCAGATCAGCAAATCAGAGTTCAGAGATCATTTAAAGGACTTGCTCTAGGTGGGCGGTAACGGTGCAGAAAAGGAGCAACCCCAGTGCAACACCTTTCAGGTGTGCGGGTCCTGGGTCCCGCATGAAAGTCCAGAGCCGGTGGAGGAGACAGAGCAGGCGTGCAGTGCGTGAGTGTGTGCAAGTAATTGTTACAACTCTGAGTGACGTACAGTGAGAGACATGTTCAGGGAGCAAGATCCATTCGTTGGGGGGGGGGGGACTCTGGAGCACAGGAAGGAGTTGTGGATCTGAAGAGGCTTCCCAGAGGAGGTGGCAGTTTTAAAAGATGAATAGAGCTCTCTGCCAGGTGAAGAAAGAATGGGGAATAAGGGTATGGGTGGAAGAGGTGCCAAGGGAGGGTGTAGGGAGATGGGCGAGGCCACAGAAAGGAATGTGGGCAAAGTACAAAGGATGGAAACATAGTTGTGTTGGGACATTTACAAGTATTTCGGTCTTGCTGGTTGGAGAGCTAGGGGGAAGAAAGGCGTGAGACTGAAGAATCAGAATGCGGATCTTGCGGGTCCTGGTGTGCTGTGTGAATGCTGGGCCTTTGGCAGCTACTAAAGGCTGGTGCCTGATGGGAGTGAGATCTCTCTGGCTCCAGAGTGGAGAGTTGATAGGCAAGAGGCTGTCTGGGCAGGGCATCCTTTAGGAAACCGTTGCACTAATCCTGGCCACGGAGCCCTGAACCTAGATGACTGTGGGGAGACAAAAGAGAGCAGAGGCAGGAGGCACCGAAGAGATGAAACAGGACACTTTTCCTTCGTGGGAAAGCAAGGAGAAATGCTGCATGACTCCCCTGAACTCCACAGTCTTCATTACTGCCAACCGGACCTATAATGCAGAGATGAGAGTTGAGCACAGCTGGGCTTTCCAGGAGGAGAAGGTCCCCAAAAGAAGGGGAGCTCATAGTTTAGGGTTCGCACTCATCTAAGGAGGCAGAACTAACAGAAATGGACTTTCCCTGGGACTATTGTTCTATAAAGGGGGTGGCAAGAAAAGAGGCTCACGGGAAAGCGAGGAGGAAGGCATTAAGGTATGAAACAACAGCTTCTAGATGGATGAGGGGTAAAACACAAAGATAAGACAGCCAATGGGGCCTGTGGGGCTTCAGCATTAGAGATCACTGCGAAGAGAGACTCCGGGTTCCTTTTTCCTCAGCCAAGGGCTGAGCTCTCTCCACTGGGCTCTTCTCAGTTGGACATGAGTCACCCAGTAGAGCCCCTCGTGGCCACTTGCTGTTACTGCAGGTCAGTGGTTGAGCGAGGGGAGCCAGGACTTAGGCTGAGTCGCAGTCCTCAATCCCCCTTCGTCGCATCACAATCAGCCTGATGCTGATTCACTGGTAATCAGCCGAATGCCTCAGTGGGCAGCTGCCCTTGAGCAGGTAGCCACCAGAGGTGCGAGCTGGTAGAGAGGATGTGTCTCTTCCAGACTGCATGGCACTGGTACCCTGGCAGCGGAGTGGCGGAGTGTGGAATGGCCACAAGACAGGTCCCCAGAGAGGCTGGGGATTCTAACTCAAGGGGACAGTGAGCGACTGCCAAGAGTAGGGGTCAGGATGGGGTTAGTGGCAAGGTTCCTTTGCAGCCTGGAAGTCATTTAAGAAACAATTGTTAAGCACCTACAATGGCCAAGACAGGAAATTGCTGGGGTGTGAAGATGATCACGCACACACCAGCAGTACAAACCCAAGTGTGGTGCAACTCTCAGGCAGCATGCAGAAGGAGGCTTCACAGAGGAGGGGGGGTTGAGCAGAGAGTTGACAGGCTGAGCAGGCAGAGGCTACAGCGTAACTAACGGAGGAAGAGAAGGACTTGGGCGGTGTGGGCTGGTTCACAGACGGCAGACAAGTGCAACAAAGTGTGATGTGTGTGAGGCAGAGAGCAGGGTGAGTGGTAGGAAGGGGGATCAGGGTGTGGTGAAAATGAGAACCGGAAGGGAGGTGAAACTGACAAAAGTGGGGCGTCTTCCCTCAGTCTGAAAAGTGGGTGGGAAGAAGAGAGGATCATGGGAAAGCAAATAGGAATGCCACATAACTCCCCCGAACCCCACGATCTTCGTTACTACCCGTGGGAGTAAGGTGAGGGGTAAGAGGTGTGTGCAGCCAGCCTCTCTAGAAGCAGAAGGGCAAAGGAAGCCCAGACTCTTCCCCTTTGCCAGGTTGGAGAACTTCAAATGTGTTATGGAGGCCTATGTTTCCCACACACTCTTTAAGTGGGAGCTACCCAACTTGTGTGCTGAAGTATTGATTTCCCTCTTCCTGGGAGATTGAGGCCAGTGGGCACTGGCTGCCAGAAACCCCATCCAGCACCCCATTGTGCCATTCCAGGGTTGACATTTTCTGCTTGTGCCATGGTCTGCAAAAGTTTGGGAAGCATAATCTTCTTAGACATGCACACACGTGCACACCACATGGGGCATGTGAACTATGAGTGCAGCAGCCAGGAAAAGCTGGAAGCATCTGCCCTGGAGAGCAGGCCTGTTTCTCACAGCTTCAGTTGTTACCAACCACGTCACCTCTGTTTTCTTTTCCCTCCGTCATACTCACAGTCCCAGAACCCTGTCATAAAGCACTTTACACTTGTTCAAAGAGAAA